GTAGAGATTTTGGAAATAAAAGAAAAATAGTAAAAATAGACATTTTATTATTATTATTATATATACATAAAATAAATAAAAGTTAAAGCTACAAATAAGATTAAAATGGTACTAAAATGAGTAATGATCAGTCTCCAAATGTCATCGCGTTAAAACCTGCTTTCCTCAGCCTCGAAAGCTTCATTTTTAAACCCCTCACTGACAACATTCGTTTTTCTTTGTACTTTGTTCGATAATTTACTTCTTCCAGCGAAATGTTCCGTTATTTCGTGCAAAGTTTTTCCCTCTGTTTCGGGTAAAATAAAGTGCAAAATAATAGCACCAATGAAGCTTGTGGCACCGAACACCCAAAACGTGCCAGGGAGGGTTAAATTGGACACCATGGAGAAGAAAACTTTATTGGCTAGAAAGCCGAAGATGTAACCTAAACCACTGGATAAGCCCGATGCTACAGCTCGCGTTTCGTTCGGGAATACTTCCCCTGTGAGAATCCAGGGTAAAATTTTGATGCCCAAGTACGAGGAAAACGACGAAATCACCAAGAATACAAGAGGCGTCCAATAGAATACACCCGTTTCGTTTACGTTTGGTGACATTAGAGTGTCCAGGTATTCTATACCGACTACGTGAGCATAAGTCGCTACAGTGATGAAGCAAACGCCGCAAACCACCAAGGAGACTAAATTGATGACTCTCTTACCCAAAAGGTTAACTAAGGTTACGCAGGCTATGCAACCGAAGAACTCCACAGCCCCTAGAATTATCGTGCAGTAATATTTATCGATGGGCGCTTTAAGGCTTGAGAATATAGGTATAGCGTACGTCTGCATAGCGGTCATTCCGTTGAAATGGCCTAGAAAGAACGATAAGGCCACCAGGAAGTAGGGCCATAAGAACTCTTTCTTCCCGAGGAGTTTCAGCATTTGCACCTTTGATGGTTTTTTGATCATCGGGACGTTCTCGTTCAACTTTCCAGATATGGTGGTCAAAGGTGTGGCTTGCACAGCGTTCTTGTTCAGCTGTCTACACAGTTCCTGGAACTCTGGGTCTACACTTTCGACTGTCGTCCAGCCTCTTAGCCAGGCCATGATTTCGCGGGCATCGTTGATTCTGTTTTTCGATATCAACCATAGCGGCGTTTCCGGTACGAACAAAAGCAACGCGAAAAATATTTATAGTGATTTAGAAAGAGATACTTAGGTACTTAAAGAAATAGATAAAGATACAGTAGAGATTTTGGAAATAAAGGAAAAATAGTAAAAATAGACATTTTATTATTATTATTATATATACATTAAATAAATAAAAGTTAAAGCTACAAATAAGATTAAAATGGTACTAAAATGAGTAATGATCAGTCTCCAAATGTCATCGCGTTAAAACCTGCTTTCCTCAGCCTCGAAAGCTTCATTTTTGAACCCCTCACTGACACCATTCGTTTTTCTTTGCACTTTGTTCGATAATTTACTTCTTCCAGCGAAATGTTCCGTTATTTCGTGCAAAGTTTTTCCCTCTGTTTCGGGTAAAATAAAGTGCAAAATAATAGCACCAACGAAGCTTGTGGCACCGAACACCCAAAACGTGCCAGGGAGGGTTAAATTCGACACCATGGAGAAGAAAACTTTATTGGCTAGAAAGCCGAAGATGTAACCTAAACCACTGGATAAGCCCGATGCTACAGCTCGCGTTTCGTTCGGGAATACTTCCCCTGTGAGAATCCAGGGTAAAATTTTGATGCCCAAGTAAGAGGAGAACGACGAAATCACCAAAAATACAAGAGGCGTCCAGTAGAATACACCTGTTTCGTTTACGTTCGGTGACATTAGAGTGTCCAGGTATTCTATACCGACTACGTGAGCATAAGTCGCTACAGTGATGAAGCAAACGCCGCAAACCACCAAGGAGACTAAATTGATGACTCTCTTACCCAAAAGGTTAACTAAGGTTACACAGGCTATGCAACCGAAGAACTCCACAGCCCCTAGAATTATCGTGCAGTAATATTTATCGATGGGGGCTTTAAGGCTTGAAAATATAGGTATAGCGTACGTCTGCATAGCGGTCATTCCGTTGAAATGGCCTAGAAAGAACGATAAGGCCACCAGGAAGTAGGGCCATAAGAATTCTTTCTTTCCGAGGAGTTTCAGCATTTGCACCTTTGATGGTTTTTTGATCATCGGGACGTTCTCGTTCAACTTTCCAGATATGGTGGTCAAAGGTGTGGCTTGCACAGCGTTCTTGTTCAGCTGTCTACACAGTTCCTGGAACTCTGCGTCTACACTTTCGACCGTCGTCCAGCCTCTCAGCCAGGCCATGCTTTCGCGGGCATCGTTGATTCTGTTTTTCGATATCAACCATAGCGGCGTTTCCGGTACGAAGATAAGCAACACAAAAGATATTACTGGCATGCAGCAGTTGATCAAAGCTACCACTCTGAATGGGAAAAACGTGCCCAGTAAGTACTGGGACAGTGATCCCAATATGACCGCCATTGTGCTGGTGGACGACAGTATTCCTCTCAGATGCGGTTGTGCTATTTCTGCTACGTATGTCAAGACCTAAAAGTGAGGAAAGAAGAGATAGAAAAAGAGATGGATGAAGTGTTGGTTCGTGATAACGAAACGCATAAAGTAGAATGGAAATGTTGGGTGAACGTTATTGTTAGTTTTAAGAATAATAAAGCGTTATCTACAGATTAAAATAACTAGATCAAGAATTTAACATACGGGGGCTTCCAAAAGACCTCCGGAAAGTCCGGTGAGAGCTAGCGCGACGAAAATCTGCCATGCCTCGGTGGAAAAGTGGAATAAGAGCCACGCTGTCAGGAATGGTATGTTTACCAACTGCATCGCTCTTTTTCTTCCTATTGGTTGAGTTATGGCGCCTGATAGAAGGCAACCCACTGGCACGCAGATTAAGTTTATCGAACCTAAAATAATAAAAAAAAGATACATCTTGCAAAACACTATGTATTTTTTTTACCTATCCATGAGATGGCATCAGGTCCGAGAGATATACTTTCGTTTTCATGGGTTCCCTGTAAACTTGGTATGAGTATTGTCGGAAAGCCGAGGGTCATTCCAAAACCTAGTAGCAGAACATTTTTGACCCCCACAGCCAAAACCTGGGGCAATGCTTCCCTCAACGATGATTTTGTTGATTCGGGTAGTTTATTTTCTCTGAAAAACAAAAAAATTGTACATCTCACTTTGAAACATTCCTATATTGAAAACTTTTCCCAATGATTTTTGACCTATCTAATATTTCTTTGTTATGTCTAACAAGATAATTTATCAAAATTTACATTTTCATTGATAGGTTTAAGATTAGTAGTGAATCCGTTAAGTAATTGTTTATTTCACATTATTATCTACAAATTGTATGATTTTTTGTAAACATTGAATCAAACTAATTAAGCATTAAAGATCATTTTTTTAGTGAGTGATATAATTTGTTAATTGATTTTTTTATTTTTTATTTAATTAAGTAGATGCATTCTAAATTGCATGGCAAAATTTTTATTTTAAAGCATAACTTTTGTGTAAGTGTTTTATATGTAAAAAATTATGCAATATTTAATTGTTAATTCATGCCGTGAAGTACATTAACATTATTTAAGGATTTTATAGCCATACAAAAATTAAATAAGTGTAAAATTACATAACAATTGATTAATGTTTCGATTACCGAATATAAGTTTAGGTTGATTGATTTTGCAGGTCCCCATAGAAAATTAGTTTCAGTAGGTATATGGTATAACAAAAACTAGTAACTTTGCATTAGAACATTTTTATATATAATATGTAAATTGTAAATTGGATAATGTACAGTATTGCATATGCAGTACTTTTTAAAGGATAATTTATTATAAACATATACATTTTGTGTGGTAATTAATATATGCATTTATTAAAAACATGTTATTGAATCAGAGGTAACATTGGCTTACAAAATAGGATAGCCAACAACTGTTCTAGGGTAATTTGGATAAGCTGAATTCAAAAAATGTAATTTGATGAATCTTATTGACCATGATGAGATGATATTTTTGCGGACACTATTCAATTGTATTTATTTTAAATGGTTAATACCCACAATCTGGGTGTGCTTTTTTATAAATATCGATATAAAAGATATTATGTAATTTTGTAGGTATATAATTAAAACCGGATGCTGCTTTATACATTTTCGACATGCCATATTTGGAGATAGGTATGAGGTGTGTTCAGAAAATATCGGGAATTCGTCTACATTAATGTTGTCGCCTTCAAAATAGTCCCCATTGGATATTATGCACATGTGCCAGCTCTTCTTCCAATACTCGAAACACTTCTAAAACTCAATTTTAGAACAAATTTTGCTGCCACGCGTTTCATACCCAAAACATTCGAAAAAATTTCATAGGATGAGCCAATCGATATACCAACATCATCAGCGACTTCTCTGTTGGTTTATAACCATTTCTTCCAGTTTTTCCATGTTTTTATTGGTTGTTAATGTGCTTGTGCGTTCGGGGCGTTCGTCATCTTCAACGCCTTCACGGCCATCTTGGAAACTCTTATACCACTTGTAAACTCTTGTTTTACTTATAGCAGACTCACTATAGGCCTTTGTTAAACATTTCACAGAATTTATTTAATTTTTTTAGCAAAATTGGATCCAAATTCTTTGATCCATTTCTTTTAACGAACGAAAAATCGCCGAGCTCAAAAAACACGTCTAACCTTAGCGGCTGCCGCAGACAAAGTAAACGATGAAAACAGCTAAAGTTTTTATCATACTTCGGGGCATGTATACCAACATAATAAAGAAAATTTTATGACAACCGGACCCTCCGAACCCGCGAAATTTAACAATTCCCATTATTTTCTGAACACACCTCGTACATTTTTAACATGCCATATTTGGAGATAGGTATACCTAACTATAGTTAAAGTAAATCCCAAAAACAAAACAGAAATGTATTGCAAAGTAAATATTAATGTCTGAGTTTTATTATTTGCAATGTGGATCTTATATTAAGAAATATAATAAAATTTATACCTCAATCATGTGACATGTGCGAATACTTATTTTAATTGGAAAATAAGCTATATCTTTAACTGAGTGACCTTGTTTCTTAGCCTTTCCATTACAAGGAACTAACATAAGTACAGTTAATATCTTTGCTTGGAATCTTTATATCTTCTTATTAGAAAAAAATATTCAAGGATTTATTAGTTACATCAAAACTGCTTGAAAAAACTCCAAATATAGTTGTCCAAATGGTATAATGTTCAATTGTGGTACATAATTGCAAAATAATTGTTTTGCAGAAAGAATATAATAACCAGTTTATTCCTAAGTAGATTCTAATAAACATGAAATAAGAAAAAACATTAAGCAACCATCTAAAAACATTTAATAAATATTAGAGTTACATAGGTATGTACAGAAGATGGTAGATAACAAATGTTCATTATCCAGTCAAAATAAACATAAATTTAGAAATCGAATGTACGATCTAATTTATCAATAAACTTTCATATGTAGACAATTTGTCACTTACGAAATGCAGAGACATTTAATAAAAATTTAACACCTGAAATATGTTTGATAAGATATTTTGCAAACCTTTTTTGTAGTCAATAAGAATTGTTTGTAAATAAATAATAATTAAATTGTAATGTATTTAAAAGTTATTTGAATTAATAAGTGAAATTTTTAAAAAATCTTTTTGGGGGCACTGGCCCCCCTGGAAATTTCCAACCCAACCCCACCTAGTAAACCAGTAAATTTCATGTTGAGACTCCACCATCTTTAGTAAAGATTCTGTACTTTTACTCTGAAAAACTGCTTCTATATCGTATTTAAACAGTTGTTAGTCCATTTTCAATGAATAAACTTCGGCAATATGGTTAATTATAAAAACCATCTACATATTAATATGTCTATGATAAAAACCTTTTGGCTATCGTGGTAGAAATACGTCGTTGCCAAATTCTTGCTTTTATAAACATGCCATTATAAAATCTAAAATATCATTTTGTGTGTTTATTATTGTTAAATTTTATTTTTATACAATTTATTAAAAAGTGCTATTTTATCTATTTTGCAAAAATTATACAAAAAAAATTAATTTTATTCTTGCTTTTATAAACATGCCATTATAAAATCTAAAATATCATTTTGTGTGTTTATTATTGTTAAATTTTATTTTTATACAATTTATTAAAAAGTGCTATTTTATCTATTTTGCAAAAATTATACAAAAAAAATTAATTTTATACCTTAAATTTAATTTGTTCGAATTTTACTTTAGATAGTTGGTATCACAGTCATTGGTTTGACAGTTAATGTCAAAATCGATTCGCCATGCCGTCCTTAATTTACTTATTTACAATAAGCGGCTGTTAATGTTAAAGAAGAAAAAAAAGGATTTTCTTTGGTGTTAAACAAAATTTATTGCCAAAAAAGTCTCGTTACTACTAGAAAAATAATAAAAATATTATAACCAATTTGCAAAATATTATGCTGTTTAAAGTTTAGCCAACCTATAAAATCAAAATTTTGGGTGGGATAAAGTATTTCATTACAGCACCGAAAGCGGTGTTATAATAAAGTCATTATGAACGCAAAATAGATAAAAGTATAGTATGCAACTCGTTTAAAAACTTTTCTAGACACTCATTTAATTAAGCACTAATTTGTGACTAAAATTGCGTTTATCAAACTTTGTTAAAAATATGCTTTGTATTAAATGAAAAATAATTTAAATTACGAATTTGACATATGTTTATAAAACAAACTTGAACGAAAAATTATTAAAATTAAAAAATAGTAAATAAAGATATTTAAAATTTTAAAAAAATAACGTCAAAAACCTAGTTATAATTTTTTTTAAATTGTAAAATTCGTAAAAAACGGTTTTTTGGATTTAATTATTAAGTTAAAAAAATATTAATGAAAAATTATTTTATGGAAATTAGTAGTGTTAATATAGGAATTGGTATTATAAAAATTATGAAAATTTACAAATTTTGGAAAATAATAATAAAAAATATAAAAAGAATTTTATGTAAAATATAAACAAGAAAATGTTGTTTACATGAATCTTAAAAACTTTTTTCTTTTGCACGTAAAAAAAAAATAAAGAATTAAAAAATTTTATTTAAAGAACTAGGTACTTACGTTTTTAAAACCATCTTCAAATATTAAAAAACACCACCACATACAATCCTTCTTCTTTGGCAATTCCCAACTAAATGTCTAACTCCACAGTTCACTTTCGGGGTTATATAGATACAAACCGATGCGTTAAAACAACATAAAAACGCGATAATAACAATAATGCTTATTATTAATTAAAAACGCCTCACTATCACAGCACACTATCGCATTTAATAAGGCGAACGAAAATTCAACAAAACATTTTTCGCGGCACGAAGAAATTTTCGCGAATTTTTCACTTGCGTGCCTGTTGCTCGGCGGCAGTTGGTAAACAAATCTAGTCGTCTGGCGAAAGTGACCGTGCTGGATCGTTTTATCCCCACCTTTTTTCACCTGCGAATTGACAATGATGTCCTACACGGTTTTCAAGAAATAATTGTGCTTTGTTGATAAACAGATCCGAGATAAAGTTGATTTGATTGGAATTAAATGTGTTTTTATGGTTTTTTGTTGATGTTTTTTTCTTCTATTTTTAGCTTGTTAATAATTGGCGAAGAAATAATGGATGAGAATAATAATAATATACCTATATGTTTTCATACTTGTTAATTGTCTTTTGTTGCGGTATTTTATTATTTCAACTGGAATTACGAATTTTTTATTGAATGTAATGGAATTTGCTAATCATGGTACAAGTGAAAAAGCAGCCACTAATAACTTTAGTAATAAGTCATTTTTGACTAATTCATTTTTAGAGAGTTTAGTTGATATAACTTATAAAGCGTTAAAAATTTTGCGTACAGGGCCCATAAAACATTCTCTTCTCTTTTACTGTGAAAAACTGCTTTTATATTTATTGTTAGTCTGTTTTCAAGGAATAAATTTTGATTTACACAGAAAAATTTGAGATTGATCATCGATTGAGATTTTAACGCCGGTAGAAACAACTGTCACTTTTTTGTACTAAAGGTACATTTTCCTTGTAAGAATGTTTATTACTTATATATTTTGAAATTATATAAAGAATAAAATATTTTCTTAACATATTCATATGGGTGATTCTACAAAAGTTGGGCAACTTTTGTCCTCATTTTGTTTATATAGTTTTTGGAGAAAATTAAACAGTATTTTGTTATGAGAACATAGATAATATAATAAATATACTGTTCCAGACCGGGCCAGTCACTTTTTCAAACAGTTTCTGAAATATCGGTGTTTTCTAAATTTGAATGCAAGGGAAGTGACGAGTATATATATATACATAATTTATTGGAAAATATAAGATTTATTGCAACTTTGAGCATATTATACATTATCGATATCTCAATTATTAGATATGGGACCCACACCAAATTTATATGAGTTTTTAATGACATTAAATAAACAAGTTCTGCGCAAGCAGATTTTAAATTGAAGTTTGCGAAAAAAAGATAACTGAAACATCGAACATGGAACTGACGACACGGTACTGATGAATGGGATACAAATTTGAGATTATAATTCGGAATTAAGTATTTTACTGATATTTTTTATTAGTGGATGCTACTTATCAACAAATCACATATAGCCTTATATAAATTACAATGAAATATATATACTTAAGAAAATAACTACTCACCACAGTACTGAAATTTTGACTGGAACTATACGTGCATTCACCACAACTTCGCCGCTTGCATTGTTTTCAAGATGACTGTCGTTTAAAGGGCGGGCTCTGTAGGTAATTTTTTACCAACACTTGAGGTAAAACGAGGACTTGATGTTTAAACTGAATTTTAATATTGGACACAGAACTGACGGGTAAAAGTGAGTACAAAGATTATCAATTTTTTAAAAATTGCTTTTATTCGAATCTATGATAAAATAAAATATGAAGAATACATTATTTAATGTTTTATAGTTTGTAGTGAAATTGAAAAATTTAAGATAAATTGAATATATTTTAAAATAAAATCACTCAAATATTTGATTCTGGAGTTGTGACACGCCAAGGTACTGATGTTTTGAATATTTATTATGTTTTTCTACAAATGCTTTTGAAAAAATACATTAAAATTGGGTGGACAAGTTAAAAAAAACCTGGATCTTTTGTAATATACTAAAATATTTACAAAAAATATTAAAATACCTACTTTATTGACTGATGACATCAAGTTGTCCAACTTTTGTAGAATCACCCATATTTTAATATTTTAAAGTATCAATAATTCTTAAGTTTAATTCAAATATTAACAGGCATGGTGAAAAATACGCCAAAATATTTATTGGGATGGTTACTTTATTTTCGTATAGATGCCGCTTTGTACAAATATTTCATTTAATTTATTTTTATATAATATTAAGTATATGTCGTAGAAAAAGTATAGTTTGCAACTCGTTTAATAGGCACTCATTTAATTAAGCACTTGCTCGCAAGCTCGCTTGTGCCGAAATTAAATTCGTGACTAAAATGGCGTTTATAAACGGTTTGGTTGTTTTTAATTTTTTAATTTCAATAATGGAATGGGTTTCACAATAATTTTCGACATCATAGTATACTATAAGTCTCAGAGTGGATAAACAATAATAAACCTTAAAACCATAATTAAACTTGTTTTGACTTTATTAAAAATTGTTTGGTAATGGTATAAATTAAAAACTACTTGTTTTTTAATTAAAATTCTATCACGCGCAATGTAAAAATTTAATTTAATTTAAACAAAATTATGTGGAACTATAAAAGTAATAAAAAAAACAATAAATATTATTAAATATCATAAAAAGTATATTTTCGACTAGTCTCACAAAGCATTTTATTCGACAATCGCAAGAAATATACATAACAGTGTAAAATTTGACATCTGTTAAACAGTTTTAATGTCACTTTTTCCAATTCTAAATTAAAGGTAACTTTATCCCGTGGGCAAATTTAGGAAATTTATTATTTCCCCTAACCTCAATAAATAAATAAATAAATAAATAAAAAAATATCCTAACCAAATATTAATATTTTGTTTTGTTGCAAAAATGGTGAATGCGTCGGGATTAATTCTTATCATAAAGTAATGATTAATAATTTATTTAAAAATATTTACCTACATTTATTACCTATCACAATAAACATGAATGACACATTTTTTTTTAAATGTTTATTATTGTTTAAAAATGTTATTATTTTAAATTAAAATAATCATTTAATTTACACCAAACAATCATTTAACATATTTATTAGGTTCAACCATTCACTTTTCCACTCATTAAGGTCACACATATCTTTGATTTTTATACATAAAAATTGTTTTTATTTTGTTAAATTAATAATATTAACAATTATCCTAGCATAACATAAAGTGACTGTTGGCTTAATATAAAAAAAAATGTTAAAATAATTTAATTGCATTGTATTTATTTGTAATGTGTGTTTGAATAAATATGGAAACTTATTCTTGCCTTATAAATTATATTGACATTTATGCTCATAAATATATATTTACTCAAGTAGATTTCAAAATACATACAGAAGTTTTTTTTTTAATTTTTAATTTTTTCACTAGTTGTGGGCAAACCTTTCTTTGTATTTTTTTTTAGTTTTTCCCAATCTTTGTTTAAAGTTTATATTTATAGTTTTTTCTTATATTTTAGGTAAACGTAAAAAATATTTTCCACATAAAAATAATTGATTTAAAAAATTGCAAAACAAAGAAATGTTTCTTTAAATTTCAAAACCGCAAATACATAATTGGTATTCTATAAAAATACTAAAGTCAGGGCAATAAAAAAATTGTGGATTTGTAATTTTTTCCAAGAAAACGATACATAAATTAAATGATATTTAGTAAAATAAAGAGCAACTACCAAATGGGTATATTTATTGAAATTAACATAAATGTTACAAATTTGTAAATCATATACATAGGTACCTACAGAGCCGGCTTAAGGCAATTGAGCGCCTTAGGCACTTAAAAATTTGGCTCCTCTAACTAGATACTATACTTACGGGGCCCGGGGAAAATTTTAAAAAAGCTTATTAGAGCCACCCCAAACTGTTAGCTTAAGGGCGCCCGAGCATTATAACCTAATTATTCCCTATGAATTAGAATACTTTTTATCATTAAAAAATACATATAAAACATAAATAACATACAAACATAACAAATATAATGTAAATAAAAAGTGTTAGGACTTATAAGTGCGTTTTTCTGCAAGATGTCATTAGTAAGTATTTAAAAAAAAATTAATTCAACTTTAATTTTCTGTATTTGTATGTTAGACGTACTGCTGGTTAATTGTAATTAGTTTAATATTAAAATTTCAGAAATACCTTAAAACAAACAGAAAAATTAACACTATCTAAATGTGGATTTAGCCAGCATTTTGTGTAACGTAATCTAACGTAACGTAATTTAATTTAAAAGCCAGGCTAAATCAATCTTAACTATCGAACACAGACTGCTATCACCAAACACACAACACATAGAAGTGCCACTCTTGAATAAACGCAAAAACACCCAAGTCCTTCCGGCAGCAGTTTCCTCTAGTATCGCGTACCCGCTGGGGTGAGCAGCACATCACAGCGGGTACCCGATGCAAGAGGAATCCGTGTGCTTGGAGCATACGGGGGTTTTGAAATAGTTTAAAGAGTGCTAAAGATATGTTTATACAGGGTAAAGTTTACAAATTAAATTATCTTTTAAGTTTTTGTTTGCAATTTAACGTTAAAACGCAGTGCCCTCGTAATCAAGCATGGTGATAAAAACAGAAGTGAATTTGCGGCACGCTTTTTTGTCGTTATTACAAAGGAAGCTAAATTTTTATAAAATAATAAAAACAGTAAATAATATTCTGTCATTACAATTGTATATTGTTTATTTGTTTTATTTTTGGAAAAAATAAACATTTTGGTAACAATTTTTATTTTTTTTAAGTTGCCTGGGGACAAGGCGCCTATTTCTACGTGGCGCCTAAGGCAATTGCCTTGCCTGCCTAATGGGTAATATGGCCCTGGGTACCTACCTATTTTATTAAACCGATTAATAATTAATAATATATTATAGTGCAATTCACTAAACGATTAAAAAATATTTTGCTAATAGTTTCGCATTAAATTCCTAAAGAACTAAACGCTAAATTTTAATAAAAAAACATACAGGGTGTGCACATGTAAAAATAAAATAAAAAATGGCTCCAGGGTGCGCTAAACTGGGGCATCGGCAAATCGGTAAAAAAATTCCTCATAATTATATTTGGTGTTTTTTTTTTAATTCTTTACCTTATACAATTTTACGTAAAAAAGTTACAAAGTTATGGAGCCAACCGTTTATGGTTTTAGGTTTATGGTTTTAGGTTTTTTAAATAGCAAATTAATGAACTTAAAATTTTAAATTATAAAACAGCAACACTCTCATCTGCATATAAATTCTATCTGACTTTCAGGAATCACATGCATCTATAAAGACGAAAACAG